TCTTGAAGCATTTTATTATGAGAGTTCAAAAATGGGTTTCCTGTTCAAGAGCAGAGATAGTCTCTTGAGAAAATTGGGTTATTAAAGTTGTGTCAAATAGTCTCTCTGGAAATGGTGAGGACCTTATGTGTTTATATTATAACTACTGGATTTTTGCAGAGCATGTTTAAATCTCTGCCTTGAATGTAATAGATACTCAAAAATACTAAGTAGGCTTATGAAACCTAAAGAATATTTAAAAGGTGCTATTGCTATAATCACATAAATCCTAAACAATTTAAAACTTTTGTTAGGCCAGTCCTCGACTGTCTGAGATTGTTATGCTGAAACACAAAGCTGTTAAGTTTAAAATAAACAAATATACGTATTTACAATATATGTAAGTATATAATGTATATTAATATGTTATTTGGCTTAAGCAGAGTTTTAGAATATTTTTACTTTATTAAACTTGTTTTTGAAAAGTAATTGTAACCATATGTTTTAAAAGATTTTTGTTCAGTGAAGTGGGCTGTTATGGTGTAGCAGAAACAGAATGAGAAAAAACTCCCAAGTCAGACAGACCTTGATCTGAACTCAACAATCTCTACTTATTAGGAAAATTGCTCTACCTTTTAAATTTCTAGTGTCTTCACTGTCTCATTAGCATTTTGTGAAGATCTTAGGTGAGGATAAAGCAACGATCTGAAATTCAACAAAGTAGAATTGGAATACCAGTTCCAAACTTTATTGTAGTTAAAACCTTGGGGCAAATTTCTTACCCTTCCCAGGCCTCAATTTTTCATCTGTAATGTGGAAAAGCTGTTATGTTTCATAAAGAGTGTTTATTTATAAATATTGTCAGGAAGTATTGTATACTGTAAAGTGTCTGGCAAATGTTAGATGCATTTATAATGTCATTTTTATGAGATATTAGAACATCAGAAAAGATTACAAGAGTTTGACATATTTTTGCCCTTTAAAAATGTTACAAAACTTGTCTACTGATGAACATATATTTCCATTGTATGATAGTTTCTCATTTTGCTTTGTGTTCATCAACCCCTAAAGTCCAATGGTAAAAGGTCTGCAGGTTTGCCCAAGGCCCAGCTATGACACTGGGGCTGTAGTGTATCCATATTGTTGGAATAGAGTCCTCAGTGGTCCATTTTTTGATTTGTTAAGATGTCAACATTTAGAACACATTTTGGACAAATGCTACAGAAGATATGTCATCTTGATGGCACATTTTCCTGTCCTACCCACATAACAAATTTGCTCTTAGCAGAAAACACCTGAGACTCTTTTGAATCGTGTTAAAGATGGATTGCAGCCCATTTTGTAGTTCTTATTTTGATTCCATGAATTATTAATCTTCCTAAACTTTATTATTCATACTAGGTAATGCAAAATGACTTTCTCCAAAAGGCAAGATAATGACAGACTTAATTAGCTTCATGACCACTCTAGTAAGTCAATAATAAATACCTAACATTTTATAGATGACAAAGGGCAGTTAACTGACAGCTGTGAGAAGACATTTGAAATAAACCCGGTGTTCTTGACTTTTACTTATGACTGTCCTATGCACTGAGAAAAACAGTTAGAAAAGATTATCTAAGGTGATTTTCTTCTTCAGAAAATGCCAAACATCAACACACTGCAGATGAACTTGTATATAATTTTGACTTGGAATTTGGTTACCTGCGAACTACGTTATTGGAAAAATTTTCCTCTCCCTCAGATTGTGTCTCTCTTAGGAGCTTAATATCCTTTAAAGATCACACAGTTGTATAGGCATCCACTTTAGCTCCCACCAAGACAACATAGATTTTTAAGGCATACCTTCTAGAAGCTGATATTTCTTCTTAGGTCATTACACACACTCTCTCTCTCTCTCTGCAAGCAGCTGTCATCAGGTAGAAAATGGGGCCAGAAATATTTAACTGACAGCCTTTTTAAGACTGTGAGCATTATTATTCTGGACATGGTTCTCTTCTCTGTTCACTTTATATTCAGTGAGGATGATGAGAATATGGCTTAGGAATTTGATAGTTTGTCCCCTATAGAAACATAGCTCTTTAATGCTTTCTGCTTAATCATTTCCTATGTTTAAATGTTCTTAATTCAATTAAATACTGTACGAATTAAAATAGATTCTAATGACAACAAGATTTTAAAAAATGTAGCTCTAGGAATATACTGATGAATTTCCTTTCATCTTGATCAATTACTGCTCTTTCTTGGATTGCTAGTTTATCCTGAGAACTTTGATAGGTCATAAACCTTCTCAGGTTATTTGTGATAGGAGCTTGTATCTTAGACACACAAACATACACACACAGCTTTGTTTTATACATCTCACAATAGTGAAGAATCATGAACTATTTTAATTCTAATAATGACCTCTTTCAGCTGTAAGTCTGTCAATATATTTTTCTAATTCAGAAGTTTATTTTTTTCTTTTTTATACATATATACATATGAAACATTATATATAAAGTATATATTTTGATAACATCAAATGCTAAATATCAACACACTTCAGAAGCCACTTTGTTTTAGAAAGTCACTTTGTAAGAAAGTTCCCAAAGAACTAGGAGACTAGATATCTATCTGTGTTGCACTGGTGTGCTCTCCCCATAAAGTTGAAGTTTATCTATGCATAAAAGTATCTCCATGGCTGCTCTGCTAGCACAGAGCCCCTTTGGCTTTAGGCTGATTTAGAATAATACAAATGGTTCCCACTCCTAGTTTTTCAGGATCTAGCTCTAGGTGCTTTTCCTTTTTGAGCATTTTACAATATAACAACTGGACACTTTTTCATATGTGGATTGAGATTTGGCCTTGAAATCACTCTGGGACCATTTGATATTTGTTATTCAAAACATTATAGAACCAGTCCCTGAAAAGGCAACCTTCTTTGGAATATCTACAGCCTCTATTACAGTGCTGTTTGGCCCACTTGGCAAATTCTACGGCAGAGAAATTTATAGAGAGTTTTAGTTTTGGAACAGAAAGAAACAGGTGGAGGTCATCTAGTGAGGGAACTCTAATTTACAGATGAATAATCAATGAGGAAATCAGGGTTATTTAGCTATCAGTATTTTCATTAGTAACTTCGTCCATCCATCCAACATGTTCAGAGTCCCTGATATGGATTCTGCAGCTGTAAAGTGTAAGAATAGTCTTAACACATATGCACTCCCAGTCCATTAAAGAGTAAGCTTGACAAATATGTACCACATCAAGTGAAACTTTAGATCATAAAGGTGCATTCAAAGCAGTTGTAGATGAATTATTGACAGGAAATAGTAGTTGCATTTTAAGAAATGGGCAAATAATTACCATGTAGGTTAGGAGAGAGGCCTAACAGAAATCAGGAAAGAGCACAGGCACTTTGGAAGACACTGTGTGTTAGTGTGATTGGCACAGGAGACTTGATAGCAAGGAGAATAAGGAATGGTGGAGTGCTGGGTGGCAGTATCACTGGGGTCAGCCCATGCACACCTGGACATTCAGTTGGGAGAAAAGGTAGAGAGCTCTGGGGGTTTCTCAGAGAGAACCTTCTAAATCTGGGTTGCCCCAAAGCATAGTAACTTATACGACATGTTTGTGGGAAAAACAAACTTCCAAACTGTGGGCTGTGAAATGGGGTGGAACAAATGTTCTTTAGATTCTTTAGTGTTACTAAGCAGAATATTTATATGTCAACAGTTCTGAGTAGGATTTATTCAATAATCCAGCATTTTGGGGGGATACAGAGTTCAGTTCTCCTTTTACTGAAACATGGGTTCTAGGAAGATAGAGCCCTCAGGGTTACCTTATACCTGACATTGTACCCAGAAATTCATAGGCATTTAATCAATATTTGCCTATTGAATGAATCAATCATACATGAATAGCTAACAAGACATTTTTTGGGAGAATATTAGCAGTCATTATCAAATGCAGTTGCCTGAGATCAAGAGGACTGAAACTTAGGGGCTTCTAGCAGATAAAATCAATCTGAAAGAAGTTCTTGTTATAAAAGAAATGAGGTAACTAATTTCAAGTAATGAATTTAGGCTCTGTAGTCATTAATGATTTTCATCTTGATCTTTAAAAGCAATAAGGTATACATACACATATAATGCATGCACTTATGTATATGTATATATATGTTTGTATGCATGCAAAAATATGGGTATTTGCAGTATGGTCATTATAATATGTTGTTCTGTCCATATCCTGTTGCTGCTTCCTTCAGACTATGAGTCTTGTGGGATGAAGTGTATTTCTGAAGTCTTACAAGTTGTAGAGGGCTACCTTTGGGAGGTTGGAACATAGACAAAGGCAACAAGATGCCTGGGACATGTCTTCAGTAAGCTGGGTGATCCATTTGCCACCCTCAGTTTTGCAGTGATTGCATCCAAGAATAGATGTAATTTCTAGAGATTGCATAAAAATGTAAAGTCTTATTTTAAGATTTGCTTAAAGTTTTTTAATTCCAGAAAAAACATATTTCTTTTGAAAGAATAAACCTTTGTGTCACAAAGCAGAGATGCCTATTAGTCAGCTTTCTGGGTTCTGCAAGTTTGTAGATGAAACTCTTCTTGTATTTTGCAATGCCATGCCCAGTTGGCTCTTAATAAATATTCATTTATCCTTTTCACACTGATAAGCATGGTCTATATGGGATAAACTTTTCTCAGCTCCCATGAATAGAACCCAGTACTGCTAATGGAAGATTTGTACATTTCTGTGGAGGTGAAGAGGCTTTGATACAATCCACATTTAGACTTTCACAGTTATTTTTATTTAGCTGTCTTGAGATTTCAAGGATGATGTTTCTTTATCCCCAAATGCTGTTTGACATTGATTGTAGGTATTTGGTGATGGGTCTGAGGTTGTAACTTTAACAGGTGTAAGTATTTCTTTCCTCTGTTTCAGCTGAGAAGTTTTGAGAGTGAACTATTCACAACCATTAAGAGACCTCCAGTTTAATTTCTCATCATGCTTATTCTGTAGTTCACATTAAGTCCAGAGTACTGAGGACGGAACGAGTGGACTCTCTAGACACCAGATAGTTGGCCATGGTATTGACCATGGCATCTGAGGATTCCCAGAACTTCTTCCAGTCTTTTTCTTCCTGGATATCCCGAGTTTATGAAGCTCTCCAGCAAGCAGGGGAAACTTTATCAGCTCCTCTGGTGCATTTAAGCAAACAAGACTCTAAATTGAGTGACACATTAGACCAGGACTTAGATGATATTAAGATTCAGGAGACATTCTTTGAAGATGAAGAACAAGACAATGATTGGAGCCAAGAAGATGCAAATGACTTGTTTATTGAAGAGGATCATTTATCATGTTGTAATACTGATTTGCAGGACTCTGTCCAAATTTCCAGCCCCAGACTTAGCCAACATGCAAAGGACTCATGTTCTATAATATCTCAATGGCCCAATCAGACCCTGAATGACCCCAAGGCCCCACATGTGCTTTCTTCTATTGCTGAGGAAGAGCATCACCTTGAAAAGCAAAGATGTGGCCTTCAACACAGCTTTGACAGCCAGCTTCCTGGCACTTTAGAAAAAGTTAATGGAAAAAAGCAAGGTAAGCTAGCCAGTATCATTTTCTCTGAATTCTTCCAAAGGACTTTTCTATTTGTTTTATTTTGGCTGGTTTTTAGTTATATTGATTTTATTTTTTTCTCTCTCTTATACCTTACCTCATTCTGGCTTCTGACTGAGAGATAAAAATCTGTAAGAACACTTTCAGTACATAAAACTTTGGAAGATCCATTTTGTGAGCTCCATATTGCAAAACAATAGTTCTGAGCAATTGAAATGCTCTAAATGAATCCATGGATTCCATTTGAGAAGCCCCTTGTGCACATGTCATGCTTTTAAAAATATCTTTTAAAATGTTCTTTTTTTCCCCTCTGGGTTAGGAATTTCTAGATGTTACTATATTATTCAGTGTGAAATCCTGTGCAAAAAGCCATACTTGTTGCAGAATTTTTAGTTGATAACACTCCAAGAACACTTCTCACAGTGTTTCATTGAGATGTGATGTGAGATGACAGTAGATAGGAAATCTTTGAAATAGGAATAGCTTCCTTTTCTTTCAGCCTTGCACGATAAGGACACATTTAATAAATGCTGCCTATGAAGCTTCATGCTGTCAGAGCTGAGCGCCTATTGGGCCTTCAATAAATGCATAATGAATATGATAACAATCTAATTAACTCTGTGAAAGTAGCTGTCCTCAGTTCCAGCAGAAATTTCTTATGCTTCTAATACTCTAACCTGAAGTAAGGACATTCTACTGGGTTAAGGACAGATGCAATGATATGCATAGAAGGGGGTTGGTATGTGTTTATAATGTGTAGCTCACACAGATTAGTAGGTAATTAATGGCATATATAAAATCCATTATTCCTTTCTTATTGGAGGGAGCAGATTTTTCAAGGATATTTACTAGTCTCTTCATCCATTTTCAGTGTTCCTCTTAGCTTTATCTTTTTAGAAAAGTATCTTGTCCAAATACAGGAAGTGTTATTGAAGGAAGCATAATTTCATATTCCTCTTATAATGCTTTTTTGATACCCTCACTCAGATTAAAGAATGAAATCCTAGAATAAACTGGTAAAAATGAGGTAGTCTGATATTCTTTCTGAATCTAATAATCTAAAGTCTTGCAATGTTGAGTCTTTTTAAATTATCTGTAGCGATTCATCTAGAAGTATTTGGACAAGCAGTAGAATTTCTTAGAGTTGAGTTGAATTTCTGTTCATATTTTCAAAAATTCTTGCCCAAGTTGAAAAGTATTTGAAATTAATGTGTATCTGACCCCAAAATACTTAACACTGGTTTTGTAAATTTTTTAATATAATCTAATAGCAGGAAATCAACTTGTTTATTTATCCACTTAGGAGCTATTTATTCACTATATTGTAATCCTAAAGGCAAGAACCTTGCCCTAGCTTTGTCTCTGTATTCTTAGCTGTGAGCATAGTGTTAGGTATATAGTAGGACATCAACTAAAGACTAATGATGGAATAATGACAAGGAAAGCTAACAATGCTAAAAGGAACATACTGCTGTTTTTCTTACTTTATAGTTGAGAAAAGGGACAGTTAGAGAGTTTGAAACAAGATTCACACTTAGGAAGCTGCAGAGTTTAGGCAGTCTGATTTTAGAATTTACATGTAAACACTTTCTTTTAAAAGGATAATTACATATTATAAATTCATCTTTATTGTACAGTTCTGTACAATAAGGGATATTTGGGGATCTCCAGTTTAATTTCTTTTCCAAAATTAATATCTATTATTTCTTTTTCTTGTCCAATTACTTTGAATAGGGCCTTGTTATCATGTAAAAAAGAATGGTAACTACTGTCATGTATATTTAAAAAGAACAAATAAAAAAAAGAGTGGTAAGATGTGGTAAGATTTATATTCCTGCTTTGATATTAAACTAGGTGTAAAAGCTCTCAGTCTTTTATAACTTAGTGGTTATGTTTCTGTAGCTGTTTGTTGTATGTTGAAGTTCCCTTCTGATCTAGCTTGCTGAGAGCTTTTGATCAAAAAAGAATGTTGAATTCTGTTAAATGTTGTTTTTCATCTCTGGGGATGATCACATGATTTTTCTTATTTAATATGTTGAGATGAATTACATTGATTAATTTTCGAATGTTGAACCAGCCTAGTACAGCTTGGATAAAATCCACTTGGTCTTGGTATATTATTATTCTCATTTATTTCTGAAATTGTTTTGCTGGTGTTTTGTTTAGAACTTTTTCATCTATTTTCATTAGGGATATTGATTTTTGTAGTCTTCTTCCTATTTCTTTATCTGGTTTGGTATCTGCATAATGCTGACATATAAAATGGGTTGTTAAGTATTTACCTTTCTTATAATTCAGAAAAAAATGTTGAAAGTTATTATTTTAAAATTTTTTTTAGTTATAGATGGACACAATATCTTTATTTTATTTATTTATTTATTTTTATGTGGTGCTGAGGATTGAACCCAGTGTTTTATACATGCGAGGCAAGCGTTCTACCACAGAGCTACAGCCCCAGCCTGAGAATTATTATTTTTTATGGCTTGCAAAAAAATAAAAGAATTACAGTAGACTTCTCACATGAAAATTATACAAGTTATGAAATGGTGTCTTTTGTCCACTCCTAGAATTTTTCAGTAAAGACTTTTGAGCCTGGAATTTTCTTCATGGGAAAGTTTTGAAATGCAAATTCAATTTCTTTAATAAATATAAGATTATCTGAGTTATCTGGCTTTTTTCTAAGTTAGTGCTTTTCAAGAGTTTTGTTTGCTTCCTCTATGAGCATACTACTTCCTTACTACCCTCTTTCTTTCTTTCTTTTTTTTTAGTTTAATGGGGTTTGTTTTATTTTAAGTTTTAAACATAATTACTGAATAATTAAAGATACATGGCATTCTTATATATATATTATCTGTATACATGTTGGTGATTATATATATATTTATCTGTATACATGTTGTATTCTAGTCTATAAATTAATTTGAATAAAATTTTTTATGTGTTTTGCTTAAATTAGTTCCCTTCAAATCTGATTAGATAGAGCCAAACTTTTATCATAAACCTGTTAAGGACATACTCTGTTTTCCCTCTATTCTTTATCTTTGCCATAATGTTTGGCACACTATGACTTCATAAGTGTGCTATCCTCCATCCTCATAACCATGTTCTGTTTAGGTATTGGTTGTATGGAATTTGCAGATAAATGGATGGAATTGGAGAATATAATGCTAAGTGAAGTTAGCCAATTCCAAAAAACCAAATGCCGAATATCTTCTCTGATATAATGAGGCTGATTCATAGTGGGGGCTGGGAGGGGGAGCATGGGAGGATTAGACGAACTCTAGATAGGGCAAAGGGGAGGAAGGGGAAGGGAGGGGGCATGGGGGGACAAAAGATGGTGGAATATGATGGGTATCATTATCCTAACTGTATGTATGAAGACATGAATGGTGTGAATATACTTAGTATATAACCAGAGATATGATAAATGTGCTTTATATGTGTAATATGAATTGTAATGCATTCTGCTGTCATATATAACAAATTAGAATAAAAAAATAAATTAAAAAAGAAGCATATTGTAATACAGACTGTTGTTTTAGTTTCCAACATCAGCTGGATACACAAGAGAGACAGAGAGAGAGAGAGACAGAGAGAGAGAGAGAGAGAGAAAGAGAAAATTATCTGTGCATAGCAACCTCTTGTGCATTAGACACTGTAGATCTAATAAAAGGAGTGAATAGGTTATAGCACTGGGAATCCACTATTGGCATGATGTTGAATTCCAGGTAAGCATGCTGCATCCTCAATAGACAAATTTTAGCCTATCTATTAGACATAAAACAGTGCAAGTGAGGATTTCTGTAGCAAAACCGAGGCATCAGCCTCCTTGCCCCACCTCAGGGTACAGCCCCTCTCCTCTTGGTAATGCTGTCTCAAGAAATCAGAGGACACAGTATTACTGAAAAATTACTTTATGCAGTACAAAGTGCAGAGACCCCAAAGCAAACACTATCAATAAAGCATTCCAGATTATAGTTTTATGGTCCTATTTTTCTAAAGATACTTTAGTGATTCCATTGCTTCTGGCGGTTCACAACAGTCACCATCAAAGTCATTATTTATCATTTAGCATATTATATGACTTGAACCTAAATTCCATAGTTTCTTATAAATCTATTTGCTCTCTATGCCAATTCTCTTTTTATCTCTCTGTAAAACCTCTGCACCATGGCTTCATGGACTTACCTACTTCTCTTTTCCAGCACCATCACTTTTACACTCTACCCTGTCAGAGCATCCCCATATAGTCTCACCTAAACTCTCATTATCCTCTGCAAAATTTCTTCAGTAGCCTTACTACTCTCCTAATGTTTATGGTATTTATAGCGCGGTTCTCTCTTTTTTTCTTGATACTGGATTTTTGTTTGGGGATCTGTCTAGTAGAGATTGACTATCTATTTTCTAAGGAATTGGTTTTTGTTTTTATAGATTTTTCTTTTTTCTTTTTTGCCTTTTGATTTCATTCAATTGGTTACTGAGAGTAGTATGCAAGTCTTGAACTCTACAAGTGGTTTGGCTATTTCCATTTTTCATTTCTGTTAGTTTTTGCTTCTTGTAGTTTGAAGCTTTCTTATTAAATATTCACATTTTAGAAAAATATGTCTTCTTGGTGAATTGATATCTTTGTTACTTTGAGATGTACCATTTTATCTTTTACTATTTCTTGTCCTAAAGTACTTTTATGTCAGTGAGGCTGCCCTACTTTGCTTTAATCAGTGTGTTTATAGTGTGTTCTTTTCCACTATTTGACTTATACCTATTTTACATTTATGGTGGATACCATGTGTATAGCATAGAATTAAGTCTCACTTTTTAATTCAAGATGACAATCTTTCATTTTTAATTGATGTGTTTTAACTGTATGTATTGATATTATTAAATTAAAATCTGCCATCTTGCTAGATTCTTTTCCTTTTATTCCACCTCTTCTTTGTATCTTTCATCTGAATTTTTCTGCTTTCTTTTGGATTTGGGGTTTT